CGAAGCAAGGTAACTTGTCCATCAAGCAAGTTACAATGCCAATGACGCATCTACCTATATACTGTGAAGCCTCAACGACAACCATGCGACCATACCTACCAGAAGAATGTCGTCGCGAAGTCTTCAATGCACTGCACAACATCAGTCATCCAGGTGTTAGAACAACAAGAAAACTCATCACTGAAAAATTCTTTTGGCCTTCAATGCAAGTGGATGTTGGCAACTGGGCGAAGCAATGCATTCAATGCCAAAAATGCAAAGTACAAAGGCATACATCAAGTAGTAGCCTAGCTACATTTCCACCCACAGAGAGATTCGAACACCTGCACGTTGACATCGTTGGACCATTACCTACTTCACCGCAAGGACATCGTTATCTCGTAACAATGATCGACAGAACAACAAGATGGCCAGAAGCAATACCTACCGATGATACTTCAGCCGAATCCGTCGCGAAGATAATTTATGAAAATTGGATTACTCGTTTCGGATCACCTAAAACCATCACAACGGATCAAGGAAGAAACTTCGAAAGCAACCTATTCCTCAAACTTCTTCAAACTATGGGAATACAGAAGACACGTACAACAGCATACCATCCCCAGTCAAACGGAATAATCGAACGATGGCATCGTACATTAAAGACCGCACTCAAAACTCGTTTATCTCAACATACAAAGTGGATTGATGAGCTCCCTACAGTGCTACTCGGACTACGAGCAACACCGCGTGCAGACACTAGTCTTAGCGCCGCTCAGCTAACCTACGGCTGCAGCATAAGACTGCCGTGTGACTTCTTCAGTTCAGCAGCGTCAAACAAACAAGAAATGGATTACGATTTCGTAACTCAACTTCGAGAATCAATCAACAAAGCCTTATCGTCGAAATGCACCGAAATGCAATCACACAGAAATAATAAATCAGTATTCATTCACCAAGATTTGAAAACATGCAAGCAAGTTTTTGTAAGAAACGACGCAATGAAAAAACAATTTCAACCTACCTACGATGGACCGTATAAAGTATTAGAGAGAAATAGCAAGACTTTTAAACTACAAATACCCGGAAGGAAATCTACGATTATTTCGATCGACCGAATAAAGCCTGCCTATATTATTAACGAGGATACTTCAGAGGATTCATCATCATCATCAAAACCACCAGCGAGGAAGCTTGAAACTCCATCATCTACATCAACCCAGTTGAAACCTATTTTAAAAACTACGAGATACGGGCGAGTCGTCAAGCCTCCGGTACGCTTTCGCTAGGGGGAGAGTGATGTAGCAGCCAGACTAATCAACCCTAAATAAATAATATAACCCTAAATAAAATAAATAATACATACTCTGCTGCTACCATAACGCGGAAGGCGAGGATAAAAAAACATTTATTTCCTAACTATCCTTGGCTACTGAGATACTGCGATACTGCGGACTGCATATAGATAATTTGACGTTCTTATAAAGAAACAAGAAGCAGCCGCAAATATCATTCAGCGCCACATTGACTTCACACGCCGCTATCGTCACGTATCCGTCGACCAATGGTGAGCCGTTTCTTCAACGCCGCAGTTCGTTTCTTCTCGCTGTTCCGGAGATGTATTCCACGCCGCCGCCGCTCACCGACTACGCGCGCGCATTTTTTTTTTTTGCGCCCGAAGCAAATAATGGGCTACCCTCCGATACGTAGGGAGGCGGAAAATGCTCATTACGCATACCACGACAGCCGGTCTTCGTGGTTATGAGGGGCTCACTGTCCTACCGGGGACCCTAGGTATACCCTCTAAAAAACCCCTTTGGGGACAGGCTTAACCGGATCTGACTAAGACTCTATTGAGCCGTATCACGAACGCGACCCTCTCTTGGGAAAAGAGGGCGCAGGCGGCTAAGTGCCGCTGAGGAAGTGCCTACGAAGGCAAATTAATGTTAGATATTACAATAATTTTATTTAATTAGAGTTGGCCTGAGCTGCCAGGAGACAGTTCAGGTCGTTTGAAAGTTTATTAGGCGGGTCCGAGAGAGAGTTTCTCGGCCTGCGGACACGATAGCGAGAGGGGGGGTGGGGCTGCATAAGAAGCTGCCTCACGAATTAAATGGTTTGGGTGCGACTCTGAGGCTTTGAAGAAGTTCTCAGAGAGTTTTTTAAGAAATTGTTGAATTGTTGGGAGCTCTAAGTCCCGATGAAGGTCGGCATTGCGGACGTACCACGGTGCGTTCGCAGCTCGACGACAGAAGAGGTTCTGAACTATTTGGAGTTCATTTAAAATGTTAGGGTTTGCGTGGGCAAAGACGGGGCCCGCGTAGGACATGACTGGTCGTATACATACCTTGTAGAGGGTACGCTTGTTTCGAAGGGACATTTTACTGTGTCGGCCCAACATACTGTTGAGCCTACTCAGATAAAACCGTGCGTGACGGGTTACTCTTTTGACGTGGGGCTTGAAAGTGAGCCCTGTGTCTAGAGTGACACCTAAATATTTGGCGGACGTATGCCAGGGGACAGGGGTCCCTAGCATACGTATTGGTGGAGTGTTTTTGAGACGGCGTCGTTTATAATCGAAGTGGACGGCGGAGCTCTTCTCCGGGTTCACATCGATGCGCCATTTTTTGAACCAAGCTCCTAGGTCATCAACTGACTTTTGGATCTTGTTCCGTATAAGGGGTAGTGAGACACCTTTGCAGTAGATGGCAGTGTCATCTGCAAAGAGGGAGAGTTGAACACCTTTCGACGGGATGGGAATGTCGTTGGTGAACAGGATGTATAGCAGAGGAGCAAGTACTGAGCCCTGAGGGACACCAGCCTTGATAGTTCGCTGTGAAGAGAGCGTGCCTTCGTGTCTGAAACGAAAGGTACGATGTTTTAAATAGGAGGCCACGAGACGAACTAGACGATCGGGGGAGACCTATTTTATAGAGCTTGTAGATGAGGCCTGTGTGCCAGACTCTATCGAAAGCTTTGGCTATATCGAAAAAGACCGAGATGGTCTTATGACGACGAGGATAGAAACCGCTGAGGATATATTCCACAATGCGGTGAACTTGTTGGGGACATGAGTGTTTGGCTCGGAAACCGAATTGATGGGGAATGATAAGAGGGTCGCCGTCTGTGGGAAACAGATAGCGCCTCATACGCGTTTGGATGACTCTTTCGAAGAGCTTGCCCATTGCCTTGAGGAGGTTAATGGGGCGATGGCTGGAGGGGAGGTTGAGAGGCTTGCCTGGCTTGAGAATTTTTTCTTGAGCTTGCGGCTTGAGAATTGCCTGGCCTGGCGCGCGCACCGATCTGCATGTCTTTTATAGCCCGGTCCGGTGAACAAGAAAACAAGTCTCACGCCGGGAAACGAAACGTAGATAATAGTTGATAATATTTTGAATAATTTTCATTGGTCATAATATAAGCATTATAATTGGCTAGATAAAATAAAAATTCTTACCATTGGCAAATCAATTGTGAGCCAGCCATATAAATATAGGCAAGGTTGATGCAAATATATTCCATTCCATTCCACATTCATTCCATATTCATACTTCAATCGGACTTACATAAACAGTCGTTTCATTTCTCCACCTTAAAACCACTCGGAGTCTGTTAATAGTGGACCGTCCATCTCCACTATTACACAGGCGTGACCCAGCCGTTATATGCGTGTGCCTTATTCACACTGGACAAAAGGCTGTTAAGCACTTTGGTCAAGCGTGCATAAAACGTGTCGCAAACTGACTGTTTCATACCAGCCTCATCGATACCGATGTTCTGTGACATACCCAGGTATCGGTATGTTTCAGCCTCGGAAAGGGTCCTTAAGTTGACGGGCATAGATAAGTCTATGCCCTCAGAGTTAGCAACCCTTCCCCTTTCAACATGGAGGACCGCACACTTATCCGTCCCCAGCTCCATTCCAATAGAATTGCTAAATTCACAAGTTATGTTGAGCAGTTCCATAAGATGGGAGCGACTGGAGGCGAATAATTTGAGGTCATTCATATAGAAAAGGTGGGTCACTTTTGTACCTCCTCTCCGAAGCTGAAATCCCCTCCCGGAACCCTCCAGTAAAGTACTCAGAGGGTTCAAAGAGAGGCAGAACCAGATTGGACTCAGACAGTCGCCCTGGAATATACCCCTTCTTATCCTTATGCGGCTTTCCGCAGCCGTCATCCGCTCGCCTAGATGACAGAGGATCGTACTCTACTACCCCATACACTGCTCTAGGAAGTCTCGAACTGTACAGTCAATCTTGTACAGCTCGAGGACCCTCTTTAGCCATGTATGGGGCACCGAGTCAAATGCCTTTCTGTAGTCTATCCAGGCGGCGGAGAAGTTCCGACGGTTGCGTTTCACCACTTTGCCAATGACCGCGTCAATGAGGAGTGGTTCCTTGGTTCCACAACCGCCGCCCCGGCATCCATTTTGAGCGCGCGACATCACCTGATTTGATTCCAGGTGACGAGTGATTCTCGCGCTCAAAATGGATGTTAGTGTCTTGTATATGGTCGGCAGACACGTAATGGGGCGGTATTTGCTCGGGTCTGTGGCAACCTGGTCTTTAGGAACCAAATGCGTGATCCCAGTAGTGAAGAGGCTCGGGAGCGACTTCTGGTTGAGAGCCTCTTGGAACTGTCGGGCGAGCACAGTGTGACACACCACAAAACCCTTCAGCCAGTAGTGATGCAGCCCGTCGAGTCCCGGACTTTTCCAGTTCGGGGCCCTACGGACCGCCTCAGCTACGTCATCCGGCGTTATAATGACGGGGTCCATGGGCGTTATACTCGCACACTGACTCGCCACAACTTCCGTCCAAGGGCCCTGAGGGTGCTGTGGTTTATGGGCTCTGACCACAGGCCGAGCCAGAATGCTACAGTGTCGGCCTGATTCGGTGCTGGGCCCGTTCCACTTACCATTGGTCGCTCCAACGATTTATAGAGCCTCTTCTGATCACTCTGGAAGAGACGATTCTAGTTAAACCGTGTCGACCTCTCGGTATATTGTCGAATCCGCTTTCCTCAAGCAGCGATTCTCTGCTTCAGGTCGTCTATGCGCTCCGTCAGTTTTTGCATTATATCCGGCTGGGACAAACTAACATTTGTCCCAGCAAATGCCATCCTGACGGTGCGCACAATCCTTGGCCTGTTGTTGCCTAACCTGAAGCATATCAGTCTGCCGATGAGGACCCTAGCCTTTGCGATACGTTCTTCAATTCTTATTCTCCAGGCTGGGATAGCGCTACTTTGTCCAGTAGCGCGTCCAGCCGTGGAAAGTTTGGCGCATATAATACGGCACACTGCCAATGCGGCGCCAAAAAGAATTGAGTCCGTCTCGCAAAGGTCCCGGCTGGCTTCCAAATAGGTCACCAGCATTGGGTTTAGAGCCCTCACGACAGCCCGATTCCGCTTACTTAGGGCTATGCGGGGAAGTCGCGGTCGATTTTCGAGAGGCGTACTGCGCGTTTCCACAATCGCCTCTTCCAATGTACTCCTCATATGCTCTAATTCCAGTTCCTGGGCGACTGTTCCATCATCGTTTGAATCAACCACAACTGGGGTATTCACTGCGGCATTCACGTTTGCGGGTTGCTCTGCAATTTGTGGCGCCGCATCCTCAGCCGTAGCATTTTCATCCGATGAGGGAACAGCCTCACGTCGTAGTCGTTCGAGTTCAGCGACATCAAATATATTTGAGCGCAAGATATACCGAACCCGGTCTGCCAGGTTTTGCTCTGAGACGGTTAAAGATGGCTCCAGCTCAGCAAAAAGACGATGCATCCCTGCCCGATACGCCAAACCTCCAACTTCTCCCCCCTTTCGCCCTAAAATACGCCCGCAATGCGTTAGTATTCATTTCGGTTGTCCATCGCATGCGGCGTACTCCACCAGTGGCGGGTGCCGATTGCTGGGCCCGCGAAGACCCTGCCGACACCAAGCCAGCTGGTGGGGATGATGGATGCGAGGGGCTGATGGGTGGTCGTGCAGCACCTCTCGCTCGGCTGGCGGTTCGCATGCTGTCGCGTCCAGCGCCAGCTCCAGAGGCGCCCTGGCGACCTCCAGGCAGCGGCCCTTTGCGCGTTTTTGCATATTCCATCGTCCATAAAAGTGGGCGTCATTTAACGGGAGACGCCCAGACCCGGCGCCGTTTTATGGTGGGGCCATGTGCACAAGCGGGCCTTTGTGCCTTTAATTTTTGCCGAGGCACGGCACTATTTTTATTATTATATTTCGTTTCGCTATTCTAAGCCAGCGTTTAACTAATTTCCCGCCTGATGGTAAGTGTAAAATGTAACCTAAGATGGTGAAACGCACTGACTTTACAAAAGCCTATTCAATTGCCATAAAGACACCAACATTGTAATCGGCTGGAAAAACAGATGCCGGCAACTTATTCCACTCCTTTTCTGAACACATGACGAACGATGTAGCAAACTATTTGGTTCGAATGCTTGGTAAGTCAACAATAAAAAGGTGGAGACTGGACGAATTTCTTGTAGTCTGTTGATGGAATTATTACGAGAACGTTATTTGTAGTAAATAACAGTGAAAAGTATTCCATTTGAGTCAGATTATAGGTTGTTTGTATGATAACAACACAAATCAGCGGAAGGATTACGCTCTAAAAAATATACCAAAAAAAAACACTACTATGTTTTGTATAGGAAGTGACGAGGACTGAAGATGATCTACGTTGTTATCTGTGAGCCACAACACCCACATAATCCATACTAATATTATAAATGCGAAAGTGTGTTTGTTTGTCTGTTCTTTTGCCTTCTTTCACGTCGCAACAGAGCGTCGACATGGCATGATTTTTGGTATGGGGATAGTTCGGTGGCTGTAGAGTGACATAGGCTACTTTTTTTCGCGGAAAAACATCTCGTTCCCGTGGGAAAATCGAATATGATGCAAAAGTTTGTCCTTCTTTCACGTCGCAACAGAGCGTCGACATGGCATGATTTTTGGTATGGGGATAGTTCGGTGGCTGTAAAGTGACATAGGCAACTTTTTTCCGCGGAAAAACATCTCGTTCCCATGGGAAAATCGAATATGATGCAAAATTAAATTTAGCTAGGTGGCGCCACCGTGATTCTACAAGACGGACGACGGTACGATAGACGAACACAGAAGGTCAGAATATCTGGATTATTATGTCTTTTTACCAAAATTAAGATAAAAAATGTATGGATCGGTATTTTTCCAGACAGGACCGGGAAGAGAACGATAAAAAACATAAAATTCACCAGCTGATATTCTTCAAACGTTATGGTGCATTGTAATTCACAGTGTGGCCGTGGAGGGAAAAGGGGAGATCTCCCGCCGAGCAAGGTGTTCCGCCCGGGGAGCGGCCGACACTCCGTGTGATAGTACGGAGATGTTCTATATATACTGTTTATAATTCGGAATATTGATATCGTGATTTAGGCTGCGGTGTGTTTCGCTTGTGGCGCGACGACAGCGCCACCACATCACCCCCCTGCTCAGACCGGAGGTCGATAGTGCAGCCTCGTTGCCGACAAATGTGCAAGTGCCAGGAGATATCCTTGTAGTCTGCGGTGAGTCGAGAAGAAGGCAAGTAATCTGCAAGAGTGCCGTGAAGCAGAGGCGAGCAGTAAGGCTCAGAGCCGTTCCAAACACTGTAGCGCAGAGAGTAGCTTGAAGGAACAGGAAGCATTATTATTCCAGTGCTGCGATGAACCTTGTGAAGCTAGATGGCTTGCAGGATATGAAGACTGCAGACGATATCTGCTCGGGAGCGAATTGGTGGGGATTCTTGAAGATGATGAAACTTGAATTCCGCAGGTTGCTGGTTGCGTGTTCAGAACACGTCGGGTGGTCACCACTGTGGCCGTGGAAAGAAAAGGGGAGATCTCCCACCAGGCAAGGGAGCGCCCGACACTCCATCTGATAGTTAGGAGATGTTCTATATATACTGTTTATGATTCGGAATATTGACGGCGTGATTTAGGCTTCGGTGTGTTACGCTTGTGGCGCGACGACAGCGCCACCACAACAGAATAGGCGATAACCTCACAGACGATATTAAGTAATCCGTTGATGCTCTGCCTACCCCGCAAGGGTTACAGGCGTGATTATAAGTATGGATCAGAAATAATATCACCACCTGTCACGCTTTCACCCTTAACTATTACTTAACTGTGGTAGAAACAGTTCTTAGTAAGCCTTATTAATAAGCGTTAGTAATATTAATTGAACGGAAATGAATACAGTTCTTATATGTGGTTATGAATGAATCGGTATTACAATAAGAAAAATTGTGCAAAATTATAAGAAAAATATTTTTTGAGAGTTCTTATTAACTAACGTATACATAGTTTAAATTGATTCCGCTAGATGTCGTTACTAGGTTTATAAAACGCGGTAACGAAATGTTTCCCGCCGAGCTAGCATGGGCAGGGGATAAAAATTTTATCCGATTATATCCACTGACAAGGGATAAAATTGTCTTATCCCTATATCAAAGCTTTATCTACCCTGCGAGCATGGGCCTATGGTGGATATAATATCGACAGTAGATAAGCTTATCCCCGCGCATAGATATTATACCATAGTATAAAGCTATAAACTATACTAGATATAAACTAGTTTTAAGTAGATTTACATTGACTTATATTTTCTTTTACCTTTTGTTTATTATATTGCTAAACTGTTAATAATTGTTGTTAAACAATATGTCATTTATAATAATTGTTATATTTATTTTAAGCGTATTTCTGCCTTGTTTTTATTTTTTCTATTATTCTAATTCTTTCTTTATTTTTTGTATAATATTTAACTTAAGTATACATTGCTTGTATCAAATCGTAAGTATTACTTCGCTTGTGATAGCATTTATTAAAAAATATATGTCTAGAATTAAGCCAATTGTGAAACTAGACAATACAGACCCTTTGGAGGTGGTGTAACCTCTTGAGGAAATTAAAAAAAAATTATCCCCGTAATTACTGCCATTATAAGAAAATTACAAAATTACATCAAAATTAATTTCTACTCTAAGTCACAAAGATTTAATTTTAATTGAAAATGGTGAAGCATGAAGAATAAAAATGTAATGATTTCAAACAAAACAAGGAATAAATAATTTTATAATCATGAGTATTGTGTTATTTGTATTCCTAATATTATGTATATTAGTTTTTAAAATATTTTGCAAGCTTTACTAAAGAATTAACATATTTCTTAATTTAAACCTTTGAATTGTAACTTTACTAAGTTTGATAACTTTATTTTAAAACGTTATAATACTTACCTAAAATGTAGTATAGACCGATTCTATTATCATTAAATATGACTTGATCATGGACTCACCTTGGGTATTGTTGACACAACCTATGTAATTAAATCATGGCATTGAGCTATTGAGACTCAATAAATCAATTTTTAAGGGGTGACTACAATCTGAAAGGTTGTAGAATCTATAACCGGGACGACTATAGTCTCATGGGACCACCTGTAAGACTATTGTGGCACACATGCATTACATACATTAGTTATTTTTTGGGGAAAGGGGAATATTAGATTAATATAATACTACTATTCTTTATTTGGAAAAAAACTTGATTATTAGGTTTTAGGTTTTTAAAAACTATAACTTGTTTGCTATTACCAGTTGAACAATTTAAATTAGAATTGTAGACCGCCCTTTCCTTGTACTAAACCCCAGTCTGGGATGGTAGGTGAAATATATCAACATGGGTGCAGTCAATAGCCCTAAAAATATCTGGCAGACCATGCTCTGCTAGGTATCCTCTAGCTACATTTTGACTTGCTTGTAATATGCCCGGAAATGACATTCACTTCAGTATTAGTCAAAAATAAAATGAAAGAAGTAGATGCATTGAAACTTGTATTTACCTACACAAGAGGCTAATTAAAGTATATTGCTCCACACATTCTAATGATGGCCCCAATAACTTAGGTTAAGTATTTGCTGATTATTTCTTGTTTGAACAACAGCCATGCCATGGTTTTGACTCGTACCTCTCTAGTAGGTAACTACCATCTGCCAAAAGCAAGCCTGAAAGATGTAAACTACCTACCTAGAAAAAATATTACGATAAGTTACATAAGCCACATGTATTGATTGCAAATATACGATGTTTTTGGACAAGGTGGTTGTAATAGATGCTTACTTCAATATGCACTGGTAGTCCATCCACAGAATTAATAGGCTTTAAAGCCTCATAGAGTTCTTTACACAAATACAAAACAATCTTTGAGCATCCGAAAGCGGCGTAGTAATTCGTTGTCGGAGAATTCCAATAGATTAAGTGTTCTGATCACGTATCGATCGCTGATGTAATTTTCTTTCTTTTTTTTTCAATTTCTGACACGAAAATGTAGTTGCAATAGGCTCGAGACATTCATTTTTGTATTAAAATGGTTTGAAGATAAACTTAAACCCACGTCCGCGAAAGAGGATAAAATTGTCCCTTTCAAATGTCAAAAAGGGATAATTTTTTCTCTTTCCCTTGGCCCCATGCTACGGACGGGGGAGATATATGTCTACTCGTTATGTCAAACGGCGATATACTATAGAGATAAAATAATTTTATCTCTTGTCAGTAGATATAATCGGGGGATACAATTTTTGTCTCCTTGCCCATGTTCGCAGGGTGGATAAAACTAAGCAAGGGATAAAAAATTTATCCCTTCCCCGGGGATATATTCTCTTCTGCCCATGCTAGCCCGGCTGACATGTACTTAACTCCCCCCGCTGAGCCGCGCGTCAACTTATAGTGCATACGGTACCTATA